ATCATCTTTTTGAATCTATTTGCATCAGTGGATTCCATAAAAACAACCACAAAATCAGAACTGGGGTTAGTTCTTTTTTGTTTTTGTTTTTGTTTTTTTGAGATTGAGTCTCACTCTGTCTCCCAGACTGGAGTTTAGTGGTGTGATCTCGGCTCACTGCAATTCCTCCACCTCCTGGGTTCAAGCAATTCTCGTGCCTTGGCCTCCTGAATAGCTAGGATTACACGTACATGCCACCATGCCCAGCTAATTTTTGTATTTTTAGTAGAGATAAGAGTTTCACCATGTTGGCCAGGCTGATCTCAAACTCCTGACCTCAAGTGGTCCATCCACCTCAGTCTCCCAAAGTGTTGGGATTATAGGTGTGAGCCACCGTGCCCAGCCAGTTCTTAAACGATAAGAAATTTCCTTTATTTCTTTTTCCTTCTTTTCTCTCAAATTTATTGAGCAACTACTTTATATCTTTCTGATGAGAGGTGCCTTTCTTCAGGTCATTTATGTTTCAACTCTACTTTCCTTATCTTGCTTTTTTGCATGTCCAATATAATAGCCTCAATTGTCTACTTATTCTGTATATGTTAAGGCACTCAGGTGCCACTAGATTTGATCTGTTTGATAATGTGTAAGTTTATGGAAAAATATTTTCTATTCCTTTTTAAAATTATGCATTGCTTATGTTTACCTAAAATGTAAATGCATACATCTACATTGGTATAGATATACAACTGTCCATATAGTGATACAGTAAATACAACTGAGGGTTTCCAGATTCAAAATCATTGAGCCATGCCAGGTTTGAGCTCCTCCTCCCAACCATTCCTCTTCCTCTCCCGCTACAAGTTTTCCCAGTAGAAGTTGCCACTTCTACATACTGTGTCTCTCAAGTCACGGTAACTGACCAGTAGTGTCCACATGATCCAAGTGAATCCACTTGTGGTCTCTGGGACTTGGAGTTGTTCTTGTCTTGAGTATGAACATGTGCCTGAAGCTAAAGTCATCAGAGTCCTTCCTCAAGATTTCTCTAACTGAAGTTGAGGGTAGGAAGCCTTTTCTCTTTAGTGGCAAAACTATGAGCATATGAACTCAGAAGCTCTGAACTTCTTTATTTGTAAAAACCTGAGGGCAGATAGGAAAAATTAAGGTGATCTGATGGTATTTGGGAGATTAATTTTATTTTCTAAAGTTCCTGGGGTAGCCAGAGTCTTTCAGCAATTCTGTTATTCCTGGGAACTACCCTCCAGATGGCCTAGGTGATTCAATGGGTTTCTGATTTTTGCAACCAATAACTTAATGGCTAATCAAGTTGATAGAGTGCACTTGCTCTAGATAATGATTGTTTAACAAATGCCTTATATTTAAACTCTCAATTTGAGAAATCTTTCCCATTAAGGGAGCATTATTCTCAGCTCTCCCACAAGTTTAACTACATTAGTCAAGAGCTTGAGATAGTCTCAGGAGTCACCTTCAATTCTGTTTGGAAAAAGGGAGAATATAAATTATCTCCCTTCACAGCTGGTGAAACGGATGCCAGAGAGAGGACTTGACCTGCCCATAGTGACCAAGATAGTTTGTAGCAACATCAGGCCTAAGACTCAAGTCTCCTAATTCCCTGTCCTAAGCTATCCTGAGTATAAAGAGATTAAATGTAATGGATATCGGCATAGAGAAATCACAATTTCTTTTGTGCTTTTTAAATTTGAATCAGCTCATTTTTCTTTCCCTTTTACAGAACAGTTCATTCATAAATTACATTGTCAGCACTACATGCCAACACTCTATGATAGCTGCTGTCAAGAGAGACACTCCAAGTGTGTGTCACTTCTGCTCTCAAGAAGTTTATTATCTAGAGAGAAGGTAAATTTTAAAAAGCAATTGTACATGTATGTGACCGTAGATACTATAGGGGACTGTTAGGAGCCACCTAGGAGGTGGAGCTAACCCTACCTTGCTAGGGTTCTGGATTGGGGAGCATTGGTCTGTCAGAGAGGATAATACCTTATCATAACCAATCAGATCCATTGTTTCCAACTTTGCGTTATATCATCTACTCTGTTAAAATCATATTTTAAAAAACACATGTATTTCAATTTGGGCTAGTCTCAGGAAAAATAGAGAAAGGTAAAAATGGGGGTAGCACTACTTAGGTGAGGGTATAAAAAACACACAGGGTTATACAAAATCGGTTAATGAATGTCTCTATCCACAAACCCCTCTACCCTCAACCACTCCCACATATACCACCACTATTTCCAGATCAGTAGTTGTCAAACTGTGTGAAGAGGAAGACTAGCCCTCTGAGATATACTATTAGATAAGAGTTCTGTAGTCAGGTAACTTTATGACTACTGCACAATCGTTCCCTTCTTTGAGATGGGAGGAAGAAACAGAAAGTCTGTTCTCCTATCCCAACTTGAATCTGCCTTATTTCCATTTACACATAATTCATACACACCTTTCCCCTCTGCTCCCAGTTCATTATGGTGCTTTAGTTCCCCTCATGCCTTCCAACTCAGAATGAGAAACTGCTTTTCTGTTTAATATAAAAAAATTGAACACATGGCACATTCCATGATCTTCTAAAAGACTCTGAGAAATCCTATGATTAAGAAACACTTTTGTATTATTTTTAACTTAACATCTGAAATCATTTAACCATCGATGACTTTTTTCCCAAAGCATACTATGAAACATCAGAACCCACTTTGAAATACTTTAATGAAGAAGTTTGTTTGCCCCTCCAGTCTCATATATGACTTAACAATAATACTTGGGCAGTGTTGTATTATTTTCCAGTTGTTTTATTTTCAGTGCCTGTTGCATGCCAGCACTATTGCTAAGTTCTTTCATATATCTCCTCTCACTTTATACACATCCTCAATAACCTCATGAAGTTGGCATTATTTTCATCATAGATTATAGATAAAGAAACAGGCTGAGAGAGAGGTTATGGTGACTTCCTGGAGGTTACACGAGTGGCAATTGGCAGAGCTGAGCTAGTTCTGAGTCTTTCTATGGCACCTTTTCCCTTCACATTAAATAAATAGAGACAAATAATAAAAATTCAAGATACCAGACAATTCTGAAGCTAGAGGATGTAATTGAACTTCGTCCAGAAATTCAAAGCAGAATGTCAGTCAGTTAGATGTTGGCAGCTAAATACTTCCAAAAAAGTTATGTTTGTTCTGGAGGGGCAGGGGATCTACAGATAGAGATGGGAATAAGACTAACTCAAGCAAAGAACACATTGAGGGAAGGGTTTATGGTCTAGTTCAGTTGCAGTCTAGTAGAGATGAAACAGGGGAGTTCAGTTTTAGCCATGTTGGTTGGGCGTCAGTTTTGCGGTCTGAACTTATTCTGAGTAGGTAATGTGAGCCCACAAGGTATTTTTTGGATGAAGTATGAATGTAATTACACTTACACTTTAATAGGAGTAGTTAAGAGACAATCTGGAAGGAATATGGAGGATGATTGTAATGAGAGAGAAGAAACTAAAGGCATGTGATCAGAGAGAAGACTACACAGGACATGAACTGGGGTAAAATGTTACAGTGACTGTGTGAAGAGAGCATGTCATGTCCATCATCATCTCTAAGCAGAAGTTGAAGAGCCCTGGACTAACAAGACAATCACATAACTGACTGCATAGCAAATTAAAGCATGGAGTGTAAAGCCTTTGATGAATAGTGCCTGGTCCATGAAAAATGCTCAATGATCATTTGCTGAATAATAAATTATTGCATCTAGTTACATGATATTTCAACTATTACATAAGAGCTTCAAATTGATGTATCTCCTCTTTTTAATTTTCAATTACAAGTTTGTGGAATGAAGAAAAATAATGTTTTATTCCATATCTGAAAGTAGAAAATTATATAACATATTCTAAGTGCTGCCTCAGGGAGGTTACCCAGGCTAAGAATGAGTTGTTATCTGACTATGGAATTTAGGAGTTAGACCTCAGGAATTTGTGAGGGTTGGGTCGACAAGTTCTATGGTTGAGGCCAGCATTTTGGTAGTTAGCTGGTATCATTGACACTCCAAATAAAAAAGTGATTAAAATATTAATTTCTTTAGCTTTACCAACACATCCATTTTTACACATAGTTCTTCTTCCTATTTGTTTTCACCCAAGGTAACATTATTCTAACAATGCTGGCAGAAATAGTTTCATTTATGCTATCTGGAGAAGCAAGAGCTTCAAACTCTCTACTAAAGAGTTAAGGGCTAGGGCATAAGAATCATATATAAGAAAAAAATTAACTCTCTAGTTTGAGAGAGAAATGAATTTTTTAAGCTAGAATTGGCTCTTATCCATAAAAGTTCTTAAGTGAGGAAGATGATGTTAAAATAATTATATGTACTATGTAGTCACAAAAATACATAATATTACTCAACTTCTACCTTTGCCCCTAGTAAAATATTCCTAATTCTCATAATTCTGCCATATGGGTATTATCTCTGCCTTATAGGTAAGGCCAAAGAAAATTAAATATTTTGCCTAAGTACATTTAGTTATTAAATAGCACTGAAATCACTTGTGGAGCAACAGACTATAAAGAACATTTTTAAAAGAACAAAATTAAGACTCCAACCTATGTCTGCTTTCCTGCAAAGCCTACAGTAGTTCAGCTCAACTTTTATAAACTGGTTTATTCAGTCTTCCTTCCATTTCACCTAAAGGAATGGTATCAAATAATAAGTGGAAAGCAAAATAAGGACAGGCAGCTGGACCTGTAAAGTAAATTTTCTTGTGAACATGTTTTCTTTTTTACTTTCTACAGAAATCACCCACATCTAAAATTATTTTCAGTGAAAGTTGAACTTGTCACTCTTCCAAAGTCCTTGTTCATTCATTTATTCATCAGTCATTCGCTTAGTCTGTATGTCTTCTGAGTGCCTACTGTTTGCAGGCACTGTGCTAGACACCAGGATGGGGCAATGAAACTCCTGGAAGCTCCCAGTCCAGTAGAGGATACACAAACAAAGCATTACATACTTACCAGTGGTAAGTGCCAGAATAGAGAGATTCCTGCTCAGCCTGGGGGACTCAGGGGAGATTTTCCATGGGAGGTATCACTGAAGAATGACCTGAAGGAAGAAGAAGGAGGCAGGAGATTGTATTCATTGGAGGACCAACTATGTAATGTTTAGATATTTCATCTGTGTATATCATTTAACTCTAACAAGAATCTCATGAAATATAGTGATGATTGGCCTCATTTTTAAATTAAGGAGTAAAGGCTCAGGCTTTTCACTTGTCCTTTATTTAACAGTAAGTGGTAAAACCAAGTTTTAAAGCTTGACTCCAACATGCTTTCTCTTTCCATTTTATTCTACTGTTTCTTAGGACAATGATGTTTCAGTCTCATTCCTCAGTCTTGGCACACAGAGGTACCAGAATAAAAGCATTTAATTATCATAAAAGTAAATTGTGAAACACAATTTCTGTCATTTCTACCATAGATAGCCCTCAATAAATAACACTTTGAATTGAATAAGTCTAGGAAATACCGTGGCTAAGTAGTTTATCCTATATGTGTCTCAGTCTCCTCATCTGTAAAACAGAGTTAATAGTTTATCCACCTCTCAGGGTGTAGTAAGGGTTAAATGAGATCATGTATGTAACATACATGGCATGGTGCCTAAGTGTTCAATAAGAAAGTGTTTGATAATTGTTAGCAATTATTACAATTAATATTTTGTATCTGGTTGACCATTTATCGTTTCAAGCTGATTAATGAGAAAGTATTTTAACTAAAGGCTGCTGTATTTCATGAATAGGATTTGTTAAGTCTGGCTAAACAATAGTCTTCATGCTTATCTTTATTCTTTCTTTTCAAGACTGATTATTGGGTACCCCAGCACTGTTTCAGTAAAAGACTCACAGTGAGAACAATTAAAATCTCACTGAATTAAAAACAAAATGTTAATAGAGGCAATATCTATGAATATCCTGGTTCTTAATGACAATTAGTGGTAAGTCATACATTATATATTGGATTTGGAAAATGTATCAGGAATAATAAACTGTCAAAAAGACTCAAGAACTGTATCTGCCTAGTATTAAGGTTTTGGGGTCTAGTGCAGAAAAGGCAAGGATGTTGAACTCAGATTATTTTTAGGGGCCAGGAACTTAAGAGAAATGCACATTTACAGACATTTACGCATAAAAATAAATAAATAAATGGATCAATTAATAACTGCGGGCCACATGTAACGCATTGTGGATGGTTGTTCATAACTTTTGTGATTTAGAAAGAAGCAGTAGTCAAAAACAGAAAACTTGGGTCCTCATTCCTTCAACAAACATTTGTAGGGAGTAGTGGGTTAAGAGCAGGGGCTCTGTTCTTGAGTCTGGCTTTGCTATTTGACAGTTGTGGAACTTTCAGGGATTGAATTATGAGTGTCTGAACATGGGCTGCAAAACCCGGTGCCAAAAGTTTGACTTGCTGGCTGTGTGACCCTGGGAAAGTTATTTAATTTCTCCATACCTCTGTTTCCTCACCTGGTTTTGTGGTACAAAACTTAGTAATAAGTTATCCATAGGCATCAGTTATTTTTGGTAATATTATTGTTTAGATACCTCACATGCATTAGGCACTGTGCTTGGATCTAGGAATACAAATATAATAAAATATAATCCTTGTTTTCAAGGACACAGGCAACACGCAGTTAGGATATAGTGGTGTCAATGGAGGTGGGTACGAAGTACCGGGGAATACTAAAGATAACGTTTCACAGTGCTAAGAAAAGGCTATTCAGTAGAGATATTTCCAGAAACAAGGAGGTATGCAGGCAGCCAGAGCTAAGAGGTGAGGTGCATTCTATAATAGCATGTTCCCTGTGAGGTTCAGCAGCCTGTGTGATGCTAGGCAGGTCACTTTCCCTCTCTTTGCCTTAATTTCCTGATGTGTTGGAGAAAGCAGAACGAATTAGTGTGATACCTAAGTTCCCCTCCACTTTAACATTTGGTGATTCTCTGTGAGCTTGGGGATGTTTCACGGCTGAAACAGAGCAACAGAGGTAGCTAGGATGATGGGAGGGAGATCTCTTGGTATGTAAGCGGGGAGACCTAGGAGGTATAAGGCCCTAGAGCTACAGAAAGAAGGCACGAAAAATTTGAAATACACTTTGGTACCTAAAGAATAAAGGACAGAGGCTGAAGTAAGGCCATGGTGGGGATGAGGGACGCATTGTCAGAGGGACACAATCTTTGGAGCTGCCTTTGTAAACTTTTCTTTATACCCCATTTCTCCATGCTGACAATGTGACTCTGTCCTGTGTTAAAATAAGTGATAATATGGTTCAGTCTGTCCTTCCCAATGCCTGTTAGACCAAACTCTGGTAACTTTCATACAACAGGGCATCATTGAGACCTGGCTTCTCTGTGTCACACTGACTGTGTATGCCTTCTCTTCATGGAGATACCATGGCAAAGTGCAAAACTGTGGGTTTTGGATTCAAATAAACATTGGCTTGGGCACTAAGAAAATGTAGGCCATACACTCTAAGAAGATCGCAAGGAGAAGATAAAGAGAAAATACAGGCAGAAGCCAGGTTCTGACCTTTCCTATCCCTGAGACCTTGCACACATCATTCTCTGGACTTCACTTTTGTCATCTGTTAAAGGAGAGCGGAGCTCCCACCTCGGAATTATTGTGGTGATTACGTGAAATGCCATATTCTGAAAATAGTGTCTGAAACATAAGGTCAGTTTAGGGGAGCCCCAGTAGAAGCTCATGATTGCAGTGGGGGAAAGCAGGTACCCAAAGGAAATGGGAGGTTGATATGAGGGACGAGGGAGGACAGAAGTGCTTAACAGACAAAAATACAGGTGTCCACTACACTAGCACCCATGTTAGGTATTAATGACGATTAACAGAAAGCTAGCAAAATCTTTGCCACTTATGTGCTCAATAAACAAGTGCTATATCTTCTCAGAGAAAGGATTTTTAAACCCCTGTTTTGTGTAATACTTTTTACAGTGGTGTTATTATCCAGCAGGCCATCTGCTCTAATTAAAATTTCACAGGGCTGAGGAATTTAATGCCCTAACCTTGGAGTCTCGGGTACAGTTGGTGTTTTGTTTGAGGTTGATGTATTTGGAAAGATTATGGGAGGATGAATTCTTTGCCAGCTTCTAACTAGGCTGATGTGAAAATTTTCTGCTAGGGTTTTCTTTTTGTTTTTGGCTCTCTGGTGCTGGGGGCCAAATATTAAATACTTTGCCACAAGACAGATGTTCTGAAGAGCTAATTAAAAAACTGACAAGTACCCAGGACCTCTGATGGTTAGTTTAGGTGCCTTCCTCCACTGAAAGATCAAAATCACTGTGGCTTAGAGTGATTATATTAAATCATATTTCCAGAAAGTTTACAATTGGAATAAAAAGGACAGTGTCTTTAAAGACATTCTTAATTATATGAGTGTGTCTCAAAATTGGCTGCACATTTTTAAGTAGAGAATCTTTTTAAAAAATTATGAACAATTGTATTTTTTAAATTAAATGTGTTTAAATTTCAACTTTTAGATACAAGGGTACATGTGCAGATTTGTTATATGGGAATATTGTGTGAGGCAGAGGTTAGGAGTATGGATCCCATCACAGTGCCTAACTGGGAATTTTTTTTTTTTTTTAATGCTCATGCTGGGGCTCCATGTCAGACCAATTAGATCAATGTCTGGAACGAGGGCCCTGGTAACATATTTGTTTTAACTCTACAAGGGATATGAATATACAGCCAAGATTGAGAAGTTATAATTTATACATAATATTCTAGGATCTAGGCCGGGCGCGGTGGCTCAAGCCTGTAATCCTAGCACTTTGGGAGGCCGAGACGGGTGGATCACGAGGTCAGGAGATCGAGACTATCCTGGCTAACATGATGAAACCCCGTCTCTACTAAAAATACAAAAAACTAGCCGGGCGTGGTGGCGGGCGCCTGTAGTCCCAGCTACTTGGGAGGCTGAGGTGGGAGAATGGCGTGAACCCGGGAGGCGGAGCTTGCAGTGAGCCGAGATCCGGCCACTGCACTCCATCCTGGGCGACACAGCGAGACTCCGTCTCAAAAAAAAAAAAAAAAAAATTCTAGGATCTATTTTATTCCTAGGCTACACTGTAATGTATGTATGGAGAGTAGGATGGGAACTGGAATTGGGATAGTCTTGATTGAAATGACAGATTGGCTAAGATAATGTTCTGCTCTGGATAAGTTACTTAAGCTTTTTTCTAGCTCCCTTACCTTTAAAATATGACCATTAACTTTCCAACAGATGTTTGTGAATATTGGATGTGAGCATTATTTAATAAACAAAGCCCCTGCTTAATTAACTCCGTTTGTTTTTAGTAAAATTCTTTGTTAGGAATTTTAACCTGTTTCTGAGACTTGCTTATCAGTATAAATGAAAGATTCTGAGCAGTGGCACAAAGAAGAACACGCATTACCTTAAAACAGCACAGTAGACCATCTTGTCATCCTGCAGATATAGAAATAAATCACAGTGAGATCCATTCCAATTTTACATGTCCTGAAAGTCAGAGTATATACATTTCCTTTCTAGCAAAAGATGCCCCTGGAAATGTTGTGACTACTCCCTATAACAAATGCAAATAAAAAATTCTATCTAGCGTTTTTCACTAATGCCGGCAACTCTGTTTCCATACAATTACCCAGAAAATGTGGACTTGACTGTGTCTGTTTGGATGCCAAGTAGCTCGATCAATTATATTGCAATCTAATTGCCCAAAGGGTCTGAACCTGCAATTCTATCAGGCAGGACCTGATTATCCATGCTGACCTTGGGTTAAAGGGGAGAGGGAGGTTTGTTCTATAATGTTATTTCTTCTCCTAGCCTAGGCCCTTTGGCTGTGACCTCATTGGCATATAGAAAGTCAGAAAGACCAGAAATGGTTCGAAGTGTGCCAGTAATACAAATCAGTCTTGCCTGATTCCTGGTTGCATGCACCTACCTTGCATGCTGGAACCAGGTGCTCTGCCCATTCTATTCCTTTATTTATTTTGGGAAATATTTGGGGGGAGCTGAGATAAGGATTTGGCTTCAAGCTAGTGCTTTAAACAGTATACATCTTGCCTTTTGTAGTAAACATGTGGTAAATATTAGTATTTACTCTTCTCCCTGAGCTCACAGCTGGCCATCCCAATTACTAGTGTGTGACTTGGGGCCAATCACTTTCCCTTTCTGAAGGTCAGTATCCTTACCTGCAAAATGAAGGAATGGAAAACACACACACATTGTGTTCTTCTGATGGTTAACTTGTATGAGGAGAATAGATAGATAACATTTATTGAATGTGTACTGTATGCCTTTCACTGTTCTAAGTATTTCATGTTTCAAGTATTAATATATATTAACTTACAAACATTTGTGAGGTAAATTTTTAATTCTCTTTTACAGATGAGGAAACTGAGGCATGAAGTGGTTAAAGTAACTTTCCTGAGGTCATGCAACCAGGAAGTAAGGGAACTAAGATAAGAGTTTGTCCCCAGGCCTGTACTCTAAACACTATACCCCTTGCCTTTTTGTAGTGTGCCTGTGGTAAATAAAGTTGAAAGCGTTTGTGGTTCTTCCTGGCTTTCTCTTACAATTTCTAATCTGAAATAGGTATGCCATGACAGCCAGCACCTAGGTACACGTGTATTAGGTATTCACTAAATAGTTATTGATAGGTTAGCTGTTAAAGTGCTAAGGACCGGTACAGGCTTGTCTAGTAATGGACTTTTATAGTATTGTGATTACTGACGTTTCACCTGCAAAAAACCTCAATGGCTCTACTTTGCAAATTTAGTATTCAAGGCTCTACAGTGATCTGGTACCCTGATGCCCTTTCCAGCCTTTTTATACTTTTGCTATTTACACAAACCCTGCTAGTGGGTAAGCTCCATCAGGAATGAGATGTATAATCTGTATATTTGTATGCCTAGTACTTAGTGGAAATCTACATACTATTAATTGGATGAATGAACCTGACTCAGTCACCATGAACTGCTGCTCTTTGTACATGCAGTCTATAAGCAGACACTACTTGGCTCTGCCTGTTTCCTTTCTCTAGAGCCCATCCTTCATGGTCCACTCTCCTGGGCCTAATACCATCTAGACTTTACTCGGTGTATTAAAACTCACACACAATTTAAACAGCGTTATCTTATATTTTCACTTAAATGACCCTGCTAAGTTGCCACTAATTTGAGCTTAGATTTTAGTTCTTTTTCTCATAATGATAATGGATTTTCATTGATTTTCCCACACTAGCATTGACTTATCCTCATTAGATTTTGTCAATTTGCACATTAATGAAAGAAAACCTATTTAACTGGCATGTTAATATATGAGTGGAGGTTTAAAAAACACTACTGGCAAATCTAACGTTCATCATATATGAAGAAGGGCCCTTTCTAATGTTTAAAATTGTTTTCCTGTCATATAAACATGTTTTTATTATAACATATGGAAGAGAAAGAAACTAGCATTATTTAACACTTACTGGGTGTAACACTAAAGAACTGACTTTTATTTGTGATTGTTCCTGGTTTCCTGAACAATCTGGAAAAGGAATGCAGCTTAGCAAAAGCTGGGCTTTGATGTCAGAAAGACCCCGTGTAAGCTCTGGCCTCCTAGCCCACTTGCTGTGTGATCCTGGGGAAGCCTCTTAACCCCTTACAGATAAGCTTTCTTGTTTGTAAATGTTTACATGAGATATGGTAATATCTCATGTTTGGTATTTGGTGTATAATTTTGTTGCCTCCTTCTCCAACACACAAGCAATAGCCAAATGTGAATCAAAGTATTGGCTTATGAATGACCGGGCAAGTACGTTAAAGCCATCCAAATAGGGCTTCTTTAATGAGATGTGGTGGCCCTTAAACCCAAGGCCTGGAAGGCTGGGTGAGGAGACCCCTTTTTACCTTACTGAATGGGAGACAGTAAAGGACCATTGGACAGGCTTCCACTCAGTCACAAAGCAAGTGGCAGGGCTCCGGAGCAAAGTATTGAGCTGGGTCCGTTCCAAAGAGCAAGGCCCTGCCCAGGTCAGTTGGTTGCCTGGGAACAGGGAGTTCAAGTGTGACCCTTGGACATGACACTAGGAAGAGGAAGAGTGGCAGAAGACATGCTAAGCACAGGCCATGACTTTAAGGCACAGGAAGTTGTCCAACAGGGGATGGGGCAGAAGCATTGCCATTCTCTAAGGACTGGATTTCATAGAGTGAGGAAGATACTTGGGCTGAAGGAAGAAATGCCATCCCCACCACTACCCCAACAATAATAACAAAATCCATGCGGACAAAAAACCTAATCTTTATCGATCTTTATCATAAAGGATTTTAAATGGGATTAAATAAGATTACTTATTTACTACTGGAGTCCCTAGCAAGTTCACATTGTGAAAGCAATAATGTCTGCTACACTCTGTCAAGGGAAGCAAGTTTTTACTAGGTAAGTGATATCATCAAGACCATTTTATAGTTGGGGAAAGGGAGGCTTAGAGAAAGGAAGACTGGTCTGGTAAAAAACAACAACAATAATATAATAAGCAAAAAAGCAACCATGCCTTTACCTTGTGTTTTGGATTTAGAAACCCTGGGAAACATTTTTTTTAAGGCTCTTTAAAGGTGAGATAAATAATCAGGCTATTTGTCTGGAACTCCAAAGTTACCTTAAGCTTTCATTGCTGGTGAACTCAGTTTTGGGCTTGAAGGATGGGGAACCTACTAATGAACATTTACAGCTAAGGTCATTAGTCGTGGATGTCGTATGAAAGCCAACACATCTTCTTATATTTTCCAAGTAATATGACTTCATTCGATGATCTCAAAATATATCAACAACTTTGACATACATGCAAAAATCAGGGATAAGTACTTCCACTTCAGACTGGACAACAAGGTTCTGTAGTAAAACATTTTAACAATGAGAAAGCCTTGTCTCTTTACATTAAATATGAAGAAATACATCAGAGAAGTTCTACAAATTATGATTAAAAACAATCAAATTTAACTTTACTGGAGATCTTTACTTTTTACCTAAGCAGAGATATTTATTTTAGTACACTGGTAGTATATATTCTGTGTTTCTCAGGTTTCTGACCAGGATGAAAAAAAGCAGTTTAACTTACACTACTGATATATTTTAGATCCAAATGTTTGCTCCATATTTTTTCCAAATTCAAGTTTATTTCATTTTTGAACCTAAACTTATATTTCCAATTTTACTTTTTTCTTTGAAGCGTTATATCCATCTGGAATGTCTAGATAATGCCATGGTTTATTTGGGGGTAATAACCCCAAATCTCAGTAGGTTAAAATAGCAAGATCATCATTCTCATGCACACTACACAGCATGGGCTGATTGGGGTACTTGCCTCTACTTGATCTCACTCACAGACCTTATCCAAAAGAGTTTCCATTTGCTGTGCTTCCACAGGAAGAAAGAGAGAGAAAAAACATAGGAAATTGAGCACTGGCTCTTATTGCTCCTATATGAAAGTGACACACATTACTTCTCACATTTTGATGCCCAACAAGTCACATGTCCATGGCTAAGTTCAAAGAGGTCAGAACAGTGTACTCTTCCCCATTTAACTAGAGGACAGAGACCCAGAAATATCTGTCAAACCATTAATGAATACTATAAAATATGTCTTATCATTCTTATTTTATATCAAGGTCACAAAAATAGTATGTGGCAGAGGGCAATTATAAATCTAACTCAGATTAAAGGTTTATGTTTCTTCCACAATATTATTATAGTTTGAGTGTGTGAAAATGTGAAAATATGAAAACTGCCCTCTAACTGAAATTTAACCTACTAAGTAAATTCACCAAACACCATTCCTCCTATATGACACAGCAAAATAAATACTTCTTTTGTGAGGAACTGAACAGTAAAGTTCTTTGAAGGAACAAGTAAGTGAGGGGAACAGGAGGGGGATGCATATGTATCATATAGGAAGGAATATTTAAATAAAATTGTCACATATAAGTCTCTGTTCTAGCATTACTTCAGAGTATTGAATAAGAAAAGCTGTTTTATTTTTTCCCTCATAGGAAAATATAAACATTGATGAAGCCTCCAGATGCCTGGTGAAACACATACTTGCAAATGAGTGTGACCTAATGGAGTCTATTGAGCCGGACGTGGTGAAGCCCCATCTCACATCAACCAAGGTTGCCAGCTGCTCTGGCTGTGCTAAATCCTAGTAGGCACCTTTGCTGGTGTCTGATAGGAATGACCTCATCATTCCACGAATTGTGCCTCTATTTTTACCATTTTGGGTAAATGTCAGGATAGAGATACCACATGTGGCAAGCCAAAGATCTATGCCTCTATTTTTTCAATGAGAGAGAAACAGCAAATGTTCTTTCTATGCTTTCCTCACCATCATCACAGTGTTTACAAGCTTTTGAAAATACTTAGTCTGTTACAAACTTCTGTTGTGTAACTGACCAAAATTCTGCAGGGCCACGGTCAGCCCTGTTATTTGCTTCTTTTAATCAGCAAAGGCCTCAGGTCTTAAAATAAAAGGGGAGAAGAATAAACTAGCTGTCAAGTTAAGCATTGGCTTAACTTGCCCTGGTATCTCTGTCCAGATTTCAGTATATTCTCTGATGGTCTGACAGCCCTATTAAGTAGATGTGATATTTTCTCCCAAGATGACTTCCATTCTTGGCAGACCTGAGAGTTGCCTCTGAGTTAGCTCTTTGGAGTCATGAACACAGGCGTGCTATATTTTCCTTGTCCTAATTGTCTCTTGCCATGGCCTGAATGTTGGCTTAACTGAATATTGTATGAAAAGACTTGCTTTCATATGTGCCTTTCTGTTAGCTTTCTCTGACTCAAGCTGTGGGGCTCCTCTATACATGTAATATATATTATATATATTTTCACAGGTGAACAATAAAATGTTAAAAGATGCTGTTTCCCTATTTATGAAAGTGCTTTAAGTTTTTTAGTATTGTGAAGTTTTTTTTTTTTTTTGGACAAAGTAAACAGGGTTCTTAAGGTCCATTTCTAAAATTTTATTTCAAGAAAGAGATGAGAAATGTATGCTTGAAGAAACTGCTGGGCAATATTAAAACTGGGATGAGTCTATGCCATCTATGCCATCTGCATTTAAAATGTTCATATTGACATTTAGGACAGAGAGTATACAGTGCAAATACATATTTTTAGTTAATCAGAGGAATATGTCCTCATAGATTCTGATTAAGAAAGGTGCCAGATCAATAAACATAAAAAGAAACAATAAAACATGGATTGTGACACCTTGCTTTACACAGTGGCTGTGGTGCTGATGTGTGCAGGTAGCTATTATTTTTTAATGTCATTATTTTATATCAATATTTGTAATACACTCACAGGAATCATATTTTTTTATTTTTTTCTTGAGACGGAGTCTTGCTATGTCACCAGGCTGGAGTGCAGTGGCGCGATCTCAGCTCACTGCAACTTCCACATCCTGGGTTCAAGCACTTCTCCTGCCTCAGCCTCCTGAGTAGCTGGGACTACAGGCATGTGCCACCACACCCAGCTAATTTTTCTAGTTTTAGTAAAGACGAGGTTTCTCAGGATCGTGCTATTTTCCTATAAGGGTCTTGATTTTAGTGGAGGAAATGTGGTAGCCCTGTCAGCTTGGCCTCTTTTACAACTCTGCAGGATCCTGAGATAGAGGATGAGATATGTGGGTACATATCCTTAAGAATCTTGAACCCCCAAATTCTTTGGAAACTCTGGCCTAGAAAAAGAGGCCTTTTACTCTTTCCAGTGGGAGAACAATGAATTGCTACATAAAAGCCCTGCCTCAGTAGGAAGTTTTAAGGTGAAGCTTACCCATATTAAATTCTGCCCCCATTTCCCCTCATTGCTTCTAGACAAATAACTAGGGCCAAGTCTCAACATGATCTGAGTGGAAAAGGATGATCTGTGTTGCAGGATGAAATGGATTATTCATCAAATGAACTACAGAATCTGGCTGGTAAATACTAGTAGTAATCTAAAGAACATTCCAAAGAACTGGTCTTGAGATACTGAAATATTGGATCATAGAGATAAAATCAGATAATAGATACTCTACTTATACGAGGGCACACTTACATGAGCTAATTTTTAACATTCTGGCAAGTCTACCTGGTGGTGATTCTAATATGCTATTGGAATGGCTTGGCTCCTTGAAGCTTATAAATGATGCTGGCCTGAAATACATTTTGTGGACATGCCAGAACTACATTGGCAAAATACTGGAGAAGAGATCCAGGGTCTCACAGAAGTGGGAATGTTAGAATGTACTTATTTTGAAAGGTCGGAGAACCTGCCAGCTCATTATGTTGTCCAGGAGAGCCTAGAAGATAATCACTTTACTAAAGCAAGAAGTGTTCCCAAAAGAGGGATGCCAGCATCAATGAGAAACTCAGTAGTGATTGTTCTCTATTGACCAGGCTTGAGATTATAGAGATGTTGCTGTGTTTTTAGGGGAATGGCTTCCTTCATATTTAAGGGTCATTATGTGGTAGACTATTAAATGGTGCTAGTATATCTGGTTCTGTGTCTTAGACAGCTAGGACCAAAATATCAAAATAACAGTATAGTCTCTCACTGTTACTTTTAATAATCTACTTAAGAAAATGAATTTCTCCTTGCCACAACTTCAGGTTGTTCATAATTGGAGGTCTTAATACTTCCACCAGAAGACACAGTAAGGGTTCCAGTAAATCTACAGCTTCAGCTGCTGTCTGATTATTTTTGGCTCCTCAGGTCTATAGACCGACAGTTAGAGAAGGTAGTTACTATACAGACAAGGGTCCCTCACCATAATGATCAAAAGGAAATGGGGTTGCTACTAGATACTGGAGCAGAAAGTAGTGTGTCTGGAACTCATGGGATTCACTGGGGTGCCTCTTGATGCCTCCATCACTGGTGATATCTGAAAGGGTAGTTGCAGCAGCAGCAGCATCTTGATAAGGACATGAAGCCAGGGACTCATACTCTAAGGGATAAATGTCTGAGTTATTGCACTATGCAATGAACCTTGATTAGAAGCAGTTAGAAGCAGTTTGGTCAAGGGAATGAAAATGTTAGGGGAGGGAAATGATGAATATTAATTACAGCATCACTTATGGTCTCAGGATTAACTATAACACTGGAGAATGTAGCTTACCTCACTAACCTTCCTGTTAATATTCTTACTCTCTCTGTCTTTCGGTCTCAGTGGAATTATGGCCAGTGACTTCCTTGGAAAACCAGTGAAAGGACAGAGTGGACTCAACATGCAGCAGGGATGAACCTGAGTGGGCAAGGTGTGGACAGTAGCAGAGAAAATGTCCATATCCCCTCAGCATATGGCCTCCTATTACAATCCTCTGCAACTTTGCCTAAAAGTTTTCTCTGAATATGTGCAGCACATTTGTCTTCCATACTGGACAGGCTAGAGTGCTACAGAGTTAGCACCTCCTGGAGCAGCCTCCTCAAGGCTGACATAAATTGGTAGATGAATACTCCAGCGTCCTCACCCATCAGGTGGGATAAACCTGAGGCTTACTCTGTACTCTCCCTCAGAGGTCACCAATGTGACTGAGGCAAAGTTTCATACAGTGGTAACCTCATAATCACAACCTTTTGGGTCTCCCTTTCTTCTCTATCTCACATCTATTCCCCTACCAGTGCTCCCAAGGATGACCTCCCACTTAAGGTATTTTCATTTTTTATTGAGCTTCAACTACTCCATAAAAAAATATCTTAAGTAGGAGGTTATCCTTGGAAGCACTGGTAGGTGACTCTTAACATATCACAGTACCCAGGCAGTAACTTTTATTACCATGGAATCTCTAATCTACTGCTTTTATCTCTAAAGATCCACTGAAATGAGGTATGTGAGAAATATATAGTGAGATCAGAAATGAGTATCTTCTAACCCTTTTCCACCATAGGAAAGTATTGCATATATAGTCTTCAAAATGAATATATATTGATT